CCATCTATCTGTCACAGCCCCCCCCCCCCCCCCCCCCCCTCCTGAGCATGTGCACCTCGGCACTTTACCACCATCTATCTGTCACAGCCCCCCCCCCCCCCCCCCCCCCTCCTGAGCATGTGCACCTCGGCACTTTACCACCATCTATCTGTCACAGCCCCCCCCCCTCGTCCTCGGAGGGCGACTCGGTGCCTCTGTCCCGGGAGAAATAAATCTTATTATGTTTTCGGTTCCAGGTTTCAGGCTCCTTCAATGACTCATCCATCTTCTAAGAAATACGTTTTTCTTTTTTGTTGAGTCCTAATCTCTGAATAAATCATAATTAATTTTTCATGTCAGGTTCACAGTGGCTCGAGCGTGTCGCTCAGCTTGGAGCTGCACCTCATTTTCAGCTGTAAACCCGTCAGTCAGACCTTTCCTGCTGCTTCCTTTAGACGTGTATGCATCTTTTTTCTGATTTAAATTAGTTGAACGTCCAAGTGTGCAGTTTTCTGGCTTTTAATTCTGTCTGTTCCTCAGATACCTTGGAGTAGTGTTTCCATCGAGGTTATTGTGTCCTCATGATTGTATTTTGATTTCATGGAAAATTAAACAGTGCAAATCAGGGTCATTGTCTTTTTGTCATACACACTAATGTCATTTTTGGTAGAAATATTGGGAAAAGTCACAATTGCCCATATTGCTAGTAAAACGCCTGTCACATTGATATGGTTAAATATAAAATGTGTTGGCAGCAATAATTACTATATATTTGTATATAGTTATATTCTTACTCATTCAGTCACAGAGCCAGTACATTGGATTTTCTGTGCAACTATCATTATAATACTTTTACAGTACCCATCTAGCATTAAAACCATAGCAGTACTGAGTTCTCATAATTATCTAATCTAACATAGATATACTACATTGAATTTTGACTCAACTGAAAATCCCTCATTGCAATTTTAAATGAATTTTTCAAAACCACATGAATATTGTAGTTGAATATTTTTGTGCAGTTTTAAAAAGCCCAACTACACCTCTGGAATAAAACCTCACAGTGGGATGGAATCCTGAGCAATTTAAAAAGCTGAACTGTATACACAAATGCAAAGTGCTTTCAGGTCCAATCAGAAACGCCGGCATATTCATAAAATATTTTAAAGTTACCCGTAGTGCTGTGTGCTTTCACAGCCGTATGTAAGATCACAATTTAGTTTCTGAATCACCATCCATCCATCCATCCATCCATCCATCTGTCGATCCTGGCCTGGCTCACAGGGTTGGCTCAGTCCCTGCTGGGGTACACCCTAGGTAGGATGCCAGTGTGTTGCAGTGAAGTGTGTATTTACTGAATGGTTTTTCACGGCTTTTGTCTGTTTATCCATCTGAGCAGTATTCAGGGGTGAATCTGCAGGGCCCTTACTCAGGTCTGAGGTGCTGAGGTGCAGAGTTTTATGTACACAAACTAGTGGAGACAGGACCAACCAAACAGATGTCTTGGTCCCACCTCTTCTAGTTGATTGGACCCACCTCCTCTGCAATCTGATTGGTTATCTCTCCAAGCTAGTCATTTTTCCTTCTGCCCTCAGAACATTTTTGTGTAAGTAAAGCTCCCATGAGAGGTGTATTTGTTGCATTGCCACTTCTTTATCTACAGCGCCCCCTAGGCTGACCAAGTAGTGTGTGCTTTTCGTAAACAAGTTCATAGCATCCTCTATGGAGCGCTTTCTTCCTGCTCTTACATGTGTTCTGTGTGTTGTATGAAATACTTCCTTAACCTGAAAACTGCAGAATAAGTTAAAATTATCACAAACATTTAAAACTGTAGATTGAAGCACATACTTTTTATTGTGAAAGAAAATTTTCCTCTGAATTTGATTCAGAATCTTTTTAGACATTGTAATCTCTATAAATTTAACATGATCCAAAGTGGTGTGCAAAATTTTGTAAGTTAACTGGCTATTGTTTTTTTTTTCATTCCTATTGTAACGTCCAATAATTTTTGTTGTCGTAGTTCATCTATCAAAAGAGCAGGAAATCAGTTCGAAACCTCTGAGTGGAGATGCTCAGTTTCCGTCATAGAGGCGGCGGTTGCTAAGCAACAGGCCGGGCTGGTGTGTGGGCGGAACCCTAGCTGACGGATGAAGCTCCCTGGTCGGTTTGACAGAGCAGACAGGAAAAAGCCTCGCTGTGGGTGGCAGATACACTCCGGCTGTTTCCTGGGGTTTCCAGGGAACATTTAGCAAAACCAAGAGTGAAAAATTTCCTACAGCTCGACAGATTTTAATGTTCCGAGTCAAACGGATTTCTGGAGGCTTCTACTCGTAGCTCAAAGTGTCACCTGGACACTTTTTATGGTTGAAAGTCTTTTAATGGTGGGGATCCTGCTGCCCCTGAATGTGTATTTTAATGGTGGGGATCCTGCTGCCCCTGAATGTGTATTTTAATGGTGGGGATCCTGCTGCCCCTGAATGTGTATTTTATCGGTGGGGATCCTGCTGCCCCTGAATTTGTTTCTTTCCTCATTAGCCCATGTAACGTTATATAGTTTGGAACTAAGGACTATAAATTATACTCTGAAGGCTGACCGTGGGCGAAAAGTGTCCTGCTTCCTTGGAAGGCAGATGTACATGAAGATAGCTTTGTATGCTAATGAACGGAAAATTGACAGGGTGAAGAACCAACGTTCGAGTTCAAAACTGTAGGGGTTTTTCTTGCCGTGACATTGGATGTGAAATCTGCTGCATAGCCAGTCGAGTTCAATGCAGGAAACAGGACTATGTGTTTAATAAAACTTTATTAAGTAAATGACATAATTGTCAGCTAAAAAAACTCCAATATACAAAAGTTTTATTGCAGGATGGTAGAACATATAGTGCTGCACTCAGTGTCACTAATATAGAATGTAGTGACCTCCCTCTCACCCTGCCCTGACTCCTCTCTCCCTCCCTGCCCTGACTCCTCTCTCCCACCCTGCCCTGACTCCTCTCTCCCACCCTGCCCTGACTCCTCTCTCCCTCCCTGCCCTGACTCCTCTCTCCCACCCTGCCCTGACTCCTCTCTCCCACCCTGCCCTGACTCCTCTCTCCCTCCCTGCCCTGACTCCTCTCTCCCACCCTGCCCTGACTCCTCTCTCCCACCCTGCCCTGACTCCTCCCTCTCACCCTGCCCTGACTCCTCCCTCTCACCTTGCCCTGACTCCTCTCTCCCTTCCTCTCCCACCCTGCCCTGACTCCTCTCCCTCCCTGCCCTGACTCCTCTCTCCCTCCCTGCCCTGACTCCTCTCTACCCCTCTCTGCAGTGACTCCCCTGGCTCGCCGTGCTCTAACTTGCCTTGCGGATGATGTGCTAGAGGTCACACCACAAATCTGAATGGCTGCATCTCCAGAGAGGAACCTGCCTGTGTTGCCTGCGCAGGACACAGCCCCCCCACGGGTGCCCTCCCCTGTCCGTATTGCCCCCCCGACCGGATGCCCCTGGATTTCATCCCCCTGCATGGATGCTGGCTGGGACTCTGCTGTGCCAGGCCCTGCCCACGTCGGCTTCTCGGCTGCACACCAGCCGCTGTATTGGCTCCCCAGCCACCGTCTGCCCTCGGTGACGCTGAGTGAGCAGTGGCCGTATCCCCCTGCCATGGAGCCCAGACCCAAAACCCACCCCTCCCCAGGAAACAGGTAACCTGCTGAGGTGCCTCCATCTACTGTGGGTCGCTGCTTGACTGGTGACAACTGAAGCTGCTTCTTGCCCCCACCCAGCCCCCGATTCGCCCGTCTGCAGTACAGCTGCTAGTTTACACATTTCAAAAATTCTCGGTAAAAAATATCGTAACATTAAGAAAAAAAATCCAGCTGAAAATAACTTAATATACACAAGCTTATGTTTTAAGTCACTTAAAACAACATTAATTAGCATTTCAATATGGCCACTAGGGGAACTGTGCACTTCCTGTTTGTTTACATGAATAACATAAACATACTCTGTGTGGTTATTGTTATCTTGCATAAGAGTCCAAAGACTGATGTCCTTCATAGGCATTTATTCTAAAAACAAGCTGAAATGCTCAAAAATAGAAAAAGATACTCCAGTAAATGTGGTGACATCGCCAGTTCATTCGTGCATTTCAGCATGTACACTGTGCATATACACCATTCACTGCATGCACACCATCCACAGCATACACTGCATACACACCATTCACAGCATACACTGCATACACACCATTCACAGCATACACTGCATACACACCATTCACAGCATACACTGCATACACACCATTCACAGCATTCACTGCATTCACAGCATTCACTGCATACACACCATTCACAGCATACACTGCATACACACCATTCACAGCATTCACTGCATACACACCATTCACAGCATTAAGTATGAGGCTCTTGGCCTTAAACTGAGCCTGCATACAGGCCAATGCGTTTGGTTTTCGCTGAATGGCAAAGCTTTCCAGCCAACAACCTCACAATACAGCGACTACTGACCCTCCTTTTGACTTTTAAAACTTAATTCCATTCTTTGACTTTTTTAAACTACAATTAAACACAGGTTTTTTATACTTTTATTCGCTGTTTTCAAGACTGGGTAAACTGGGTAAGCCCCTTGTGAAGGAAAAGCTGGTGACGTGTCTCGATCGGTTCAGCGATGGCAACGAGATTTATATAGATCCTTCACAATGGCTGAGCGTTCAAAATAATGTGTTTTACTGGGGACAGAAGTATCCAAAAAGCTTATAGTGCCAAGGGAACCCCGCATTGGCATGTCTGTGAGCGCAGGTTTGTTGATATTGTTTGTTTGAAATTGTTCATCCATGTAAGCATTAAATGGAAAACTTCTAGAAATCGATGTGTGCTTGGTTAGCATCTTGTGATTGTCAGGATTTAAACTAGAATATGTTTGGCCATGTTTGTGCAAGCTGATTGGATATTTTACGTGTTCTATTTCGGGAAGGTCCAATTGCATGCGCTGCTTTCAGACGGGGGGTGCAGGCTAAAGTGCTACAGCTACAGGATTAAGTGGATGTTTCCAGTGGACTGCAGGCTCACGGCAGCCTTTCTCGCCAATCCTGTAAAGATGTCCTCGAATTCTCCCCACTGCTGCCGCAGATATTCGGGGCCTAGATTTCATCCCCTGTATTCTCTGCCTGCGTGTTGAGCTGGTATCGTATTTGCTCAGTTAGGCTGTTATACCTTAACACACCTTCCTTTGCTTCTCCCTGCTCCCCAGCAAGGAGCTACAGAGCGGGAGGGCAAACGGTGGGGGGTTGCTCAGGGCGTCAGGGACGTGCACGGCAGCGGAGAGCGACGTGCACTTGTGCGCCGTGTGCCATGACTTCGCCTCTGGCTATCACTATGGCGTGTGGTCCTGCGAGGGCTGCAAGGCCTTCTTCAAAAGGAGCATCCAAGGTACCGGGCTGGGGGGCTCCACCCGTCCAACACCATAAAGCGGCTTCTTGGCCGGCTGTCGTTACACGGAGATTTTCACTGAGTTTTGGAAATCGGTAGAATCACTGGTTGATGCAGGATGGTATGTTGGGTATGTTGTTTTTGGTCCACTGAAGCGAATCACACCCTGTCATCTCTTCCCACACCCTTTCATCAGTCAGAGACAGAAAGACAAAGATTGCAAGTTGTAATCATTCAGGATTAGAAATGTTCTTGAATCAATATATTAATTCTCTAAAGAGCCATGCTAGGTTTGGTTAGCATGGCTGAATATTCAACTGCAGTTTTGTTTTTTTTTGCACTGTAGTCTCAGAATAAATGTTATGTCTGTGTTAAGAGTGGCAGCTGTTATCCACTATAATACTGCAGTGTTTGTCTCCCACAGGACCAACGGACTACGTCTGTCCAGCGACCAACCAGTGCACCATCGACAAGAATCGGCGCAAGAGCTGCCAGGCATGTCGGCTGCGCAAGTGCTACGAAGCGGGCATGGTGAAGTGCGGTAGGTGCCGGACGCAGGCGGCCGCCCGGGTGCCATCTTCTGAAGGGATGCCGACTGGGCAAACCCACCCCGTCCCCCGCAGGCACGCAGCATGAGGAGCATGAAAACGCTTCACTGGCTTTCACTGGCACTGCTAAGAGTCGCAGAGCCAGTTTAGTGCAGCGCAGCAAATGGGGCAAAGCGTGCTGCAACACTTATTTATTAAATAAATATATGCGGAACGTTTCTAGGTGATGAGAGGTTTTTTGCTTGTGAACCGCCCTTTAATAGCAGTCAGTGTGGCTCTTCAAAAACGCTGGTTTTGTGTTCCCACATTCTCTCTGTTAATATATACATGGTTTGGGTCACTGTCATGTTGAAAAGTCCATCTATGGCTGAGATTCAACCTCCTGGCAGAAAGGCCCAGATATTGAGCTAAAATATCCTGGTGCTTAGTTGAGTTCATGATGCCCTTCAGCTGAACAAGAGCCCCTGGATGAGTAGCTGAAACAGCCCAAAAGTGATCCACCCAAAAGTGATCCACCCAAAAGTGATCCACAAGCAGACATTATCCTGGATGTAAGGAACTTTTCTTTGCATGTAGTTTTGACATCACTGATGATGTGCATTGCAGTTCTGTCTTGGTTTCATCTCAGCACAGCTGTCATGGAGGTGACATTTAAGGGTTGACACACCTTATCGAGGGTTGATAACTTGATGAGTTCCCATTCAGCTGTGCAGTTCCTGGTACCTGGGCCCCTCTTTGCCTTCCTCACTGTCTTCCTCACTATGAGCGAAGGGCAGTATGCACGCAAGAAGCTATTCCTCACTTCTGAATTTTCTCAATTATCGCTATAACTTTTCAGCTTTTTAATGTAGTTGTTATACCTATGACTTGGTCTGTGTAGGTGCAACTCTCACATCTGTCTTTTCATTTAAGAGCTCTCTGCTTTTCGCCATGGTGATGGATGACAAGGGGATTTTATGTTTTTGCAACCTTATACCAGAGGGACAGGAAGCGGAGGAAGGCAGCAGGCCGACTCCTGCAGACTCAGGCCAACTGGACAGAATATATTTTCATAACAGACCATCACATTATTTGCTTTTTTAAATATTTATTTCAGGGGATCATTCAGAAAAGGATGAGGCTAAAGAAGTGGACACATTGCATATCACACACTACTTCCAATTCTAGGATATTATCATTGGCTGTAATGTGGCTGATTCGTTTCATTTATTAATACATGTACAAGTAAAGAATGTAACCGTAACCAAAATTAATAATTGAATATAACCTAGTGAGTTTGTGTAACCTGGTTTAAAAAAACCCCGAATATTTTGATAAGTCTCTCTCTCTTTTACTCCTGACACTGATAGTCGGGGAAGTATCTGCGGCTTTGACCTGCTCAGACCAGCACTGGTGCTCGGCTGTAAGGCAGCCAGGACCTGCTCAGACCAGCACTGGCGCTCGGCTGTAAGGCAGCCAGGACCTGCTCAGACCAGCACTGGTGCTCGGCTGTAAGGCAGCCAGGACCAGCTCAGACCAGCACTGGCGCTCGGCTGTAACGTAGCCAGGACCTGCTCAGACCACCACTGGCGCTCGGCTGTAAGGCAGCCAGAGATAGATTTTCCTTCTGTTGAGAGTTTGCCGCCTGAAAGATGTGGCTCCACTGCACCCGAGGCGGGAAACGATTCCCAGGCTTTGTTGGAATCATCTAAAATCATGAGGCACTTTCACTTCAAATAGTGCTGGTCAGATATCCACGAATAAAAGGAAAATCTTTTAACTGTAAAATGAAATGCATGTTATTACTCTGTAAATCAGTCATTATTGGACGACAGTGAGAATCAGCGTCTTACTGTAACTCACCGAGACCATGTGACTGGCGTGGGGGCGTCGGACCTGTCCTTGGTGTCTGGTCCACCTGTATCCCGCTCTAACCCATGAGACACTGACGGCAGGCGTTACCCTCGTTCTGCCATTTCAGGAGTGCGGAGAGAGCGCACTGGCTGCCGGGCCGTTCACTGCAAGCATGTGAGCCGCCTGTGCTGCCTGGGGAGCAGCGGCACTGGTAACCCACGGCGATACAAGCCACACCCCCTTCCTGTGGAGGGGCCCCGCCCCCCAGGGCTCAGCCCGGAGCAGCTCATCTGCCGCATTATGGAGGCGGAGCCCCCAGACATCTACCTGATGGGGGAGCTGAAGAAGCCCTTCACTGAAGCCAGCATGATGAGGTCCCTCACCCACTTGGCCGACAAGGAGCTGGTCCACATGATTAGCTGGGCCAAGAAAATCCCAGGTAGGGCCTTTGGTATCTGCAGGAATCATACTTGTGTCTCTATGGGTGTCCCCATGTGGGAGCCCCGCCAGTGACTCTGCATCCACGCCCCCAGGATTCACGGAGCTCAGCCTGTCGGATCAGGTCCACCTGCTGGAGTGCTGCTGGCTGGAGGTGCTCATGCTGGGCCTGATGTGGAGGTCTGTGGACCACCCTGGGAAGTTGATCTTTTCTCCTGACTTCATCCTTAGCAGGTACCAATCTGCCGCTTTGTGGTGTTCTCGTGAGCAGTGGTCCGCCATAACGGAAAAGCGTGTACAGTGTGGCAGACTTTCACATTCCCTACTGGATCACAGGCTCCAAAGCGTGTGCAGTGAGGCAGACTTTCACATTCCCTACTGGATCACAGGCTCCACAGCGTGTGCAGTGAGGCAGACTTTCACATTCCTTACTGGATCACAGGCTCCAAAGCGTGTGCAGTGAGGCAGACTTTCACATTCCCTACTGGATCACAGGCTCCAGAGTCGCCATGTAAAACATAATTAATATTTTGAAAGCCATATTATTTTATTCCTTCCTTCTATTTCTCTGTGCACATAATGCGCAGCATCTTGTCTTCTAAAAAATAGTCATAATAAACAGCTGGTTATTGACAAGGTCATTCGCATTTTTGAGGCATAGATGTGGATAATTATGGTAAATAACAGTGGCCATTTTGGGCAAACCAGGGGCTTCTGAACCGTGTTTCCCCACTAGATGTTTTAATTTTCCCTATAGAGACATGAGTAACATGGAACAACCCAGGATGGGGCACCAACCCATCACAGGGCACAAGGCAGGGAACAACCCGGGATGGGGCACCAACCCATCACAGGGCACAAGGCAGGGAACAACCCAGGATGGGGCACCAACCCATCACAGGGCACAAGGCAGGGAACAACCCAGGATGGGGCACCAACCCATCGCAGGGCACAAGGCAGGGAACAACCCGGGATGGGGCGCCAACCCATCACAGGGCACAAGGCAGTTAACAACCCAGGATGGGGCGCCAACCCATCACAGGGCACAAGGCGGGGAACAACCCAGGATGGGGCACCAACCCATCACAGGGCACAAGGCGGGGAACAACCCAGGATGGGGCACCAACCCATCACAGGGCACAAGGCAGGGAACAACCCAGGATGGGGCACCAACCCATCACAGGGCACAAGGCAGGGAACAACCCAGGATGGGGCAC